ACGAACTCTGGTACGAATTTGTCGACTCCGGAGGGATGGAGGACATGGTGAGCCTGGAGCGCGGATATTCAATCCATGTGTAGTGCAGCGCACCTCCGACCACTGCGCTACACGCCTCCTATGGGTAGATTATTGGACGGGATTTCTTCATCACACGCGAGTTAGGTCACACACAAGAGGTGCCCAAGAACATGAAACCATACACAGAAGAACATGACGGATATGTATAAGTTAGATAGACATTGAAAAATGTAAGGGAACCAAAGAATAAAACGACAGTCTCAGAAAACCAGTGCGTCGGGATCCCTGCGCGGACTCGCAGACAGTGTATATTCAGTTCAGTGCGTATTCAGACTGTGGTCTAGTGACACGCAGTTCGACAAGCACGACACAGGATAGTGGCATTCGTCGTCAAAGGGTTAAATGTCCATGGTCTTCTCACTTCACGGTACTAAGTGTTATAAAAAAGAAAAACGGTGAATTTCCAAATTACACCTGACTCTGAAGACGGTAGTCCCGCTAGGAACCAAGCTTACCCATAACCATTAATACTTATAACATTTATAGTCTGACGCCTAATCCGTTTTGCTTCCGCATCTGTTTGTCCCCTTTTCTTTTTGCCCTGCACACAATGAGTCAATACCAACTCATGCCGGCTCAAATGCTCCACATGACCATTGACGTTGGACTCTCATCTAACTACTAACCAAATTTCGAGACATTAACTTTGCACTGTATTCGCCTACTACTTTTCAATTTTAGGTGTTCCCAGAGACTAAACTGAACTTTATGCGAACAGATCAATCATCACCTGATCCTTCCCCTAGCACAACACCATTACACGGAAATGTATCTGAACAACTTGCTGATGATGTCGCCGTGAAAAAATCACCCAATAGGATTACGAGACGAGACGAGTTTTCCAGCGAATCTCCTACAAGGAGCATCACTTCATCAGCTCATAACGTGAACGACACTACTGGAGGTGAAGGTGGCAGGTCAGCATTGTCGTTGCCAATTGATCCCACTCCCAACGGGTCCCTAATAGTCGAGTCGACACCACAATCATTTGTCGAAATGAGACCACAGTCTTCTATGAAGTCGTCAGTCGTGCCAACACAGTTCGGGAAACGGACGCAGACCTTATCAATTACCGGCCTTCCGTTCATTAAGAATAAAGACAATCATGGACGACTATTCGTGAACGGCTTACCATTTTGGGTTGACCAAATTCGTGAGGTTACGCTTTTCATCCATAGTGTAAGTCCTCCTTCGATCCTGTTATCGTGATTTTCGTGTTTAGGACATAACTGACGAAGAGAATGTGTTGAATTCAGCCATTATATTCGATGTGGCCTCCCGAAAATTGTCACTTGTAAACATGCCGGACGAAAAGTCAGTGATAAAAACTCATTCTCCAAACTCTTGTTTCTATAACTGATCTATTCTAGCATTGTACTGGATATTTACGCAGACTGCACAGTTCTTCAATCCCGCGACGCAAAGTGCTTCAGTAAAGATGTCCTATTGGGGAACACTATGCGCTCCATGGCAAACCTTTTAGGTGAGTTCCGTTTGGGTCGCCCCGCTTTAGCGTCGGTCCGCAAAGCAACGTAAAGTATGAATACGAGAACACTACCAATGACTAATTAACGCTAGAAAATGTCAGGTGATTCACTGTTCCTTTTCTAAGAACAGTGCATTTCTACCAGGAAGCCCACCTAGGAGTAAACCAATATCAGGATCCACCACCATCCTGGTATTAAATTAGTCGCATGGTTGCACATCTCCCTTTGATCCACGAGGGCGGCGAATGCCTGTAGTGGTGACGACCTGCGGGAAACTTAGGCTAAATTGTCCTGGAGACTCCAGGGCGCTACAATGGATAAACCAGCAGAACTCCGAGAAAATCGAGATTGTTCTGAGGTCCGCACTACCAGTAAAGACGGGCCATCCGATTATCCAAATATCAAAATAAGAAGAGGGTCGCTTCATCTAATATCAAGCTTTCTTTGCATGGTCCAAGCGTCCATTTGTCAGTATTATCAGATTTTCGTGCCTTTTGTCACCAAGGAATCGCCCTGAATTAAAACTCGTGGAACCTTGCAGATGTGTCAGAATTCGAAGAATCTATTGAAGCGAGAAAAGCGCTCGGAACTAAGATCAATGTACTGAATGTAGTCGATCCGACGACGATCGTCTACTATATGGTAAGGCCTTCACCCCTAAGCATGCCGATGCAACGTTCGATAGATTGTTCGAATAAAACATTAAGCGGGACGACCTTGAATACCTTACGGAGGAGGAGTTCATCAAACGAAAGAAGAAAAGTTCACGACGACATCGAGTTTTGAATTGCTGAAACGATCTGAGTATCTATCAATATGTAGAGATTTTAGTTGAAATGCAACGATTCACTTCAGTAACAGCTTTCTTTATGCTTAATTGAATTGATTTTCGTAAATGTTGGTGTTGTTTGTCCGTAATGTGGTCCGTTATTTTTGTTTGAATCCTTAATCAATAAAGCTTTTCTTTGTTAAGAACATGTTTAGCTCAAGAGTTAAGGCGAGTGACAGTCACTGATTGGCCAAAAACATGAAAATGGCTGTAATTTCTTAGTTTGGAACAGAATTTGAGTCGCAAAAGAATGAATCAATGAAAGAAAGAAAAGGGGAAGAAAGAAAGAAAGGAAAGGAAGAATTTGAATCGTATGGGCGCGTGAGGCGCAGTGGTCGGAGCCCTGCAATACACACGAGGGATTGACCTCCGCGCCTTAGCCCATCAAGCCTTCCATCCCTCCGGGGTCAGCAGATTTGTCTGGGAGGATAGTAGCACTGGCTCGATGCATCGATATGTCACCGCGAGTCATTCTAAGGGCCAGATATGCATTCAGTTACCTCCAAACGTTGCTTAATGAAGCCGAATGCATGATGCATCCCTCAGGGATTAAACGTTGCCGAGAGCTTTGTCCTTTAATTTTAATAGTAGAGAAGTCCAAACTACTGAACTGATTCGGTTTGTTGGTTTGTTCTATAATTTTCGAGTTGTTTGTTGGCCGAGTGCTCGCAGAAAACCCTAGAGCTGCAAGGATCGAATCGAAGGGATTAAGACATCAGAACAGTCTCAAACGGCACCAGAACATCTACACGTTCTTCCTGAGACCAATGGTCCTTTCAAAATCCCTTTAATAGCCTTCTAAAAGGCAGAAAAGCAAATGATAAATGGACATACGTCATTGAAAAGACGGACTTGGTCTCCTGTGGAAAGAAGATCTTGTCACGAATCGTCGGTAACGCAGGATTTGCCGCACAGTGTTTCGTGGCTCATCTCGTCCATTCACGTAAGATCTTATCATCCCGTTCGACCACGCTCCATCATAAACCGCTGAATAGAAAGAAGCATAGTACTGCTCATTCCTAAGTCTAAGGGAAAACTGAAAAGAAGGAATTGGATGCCTTTTAAAATCGTTTTGAAGAATCGATGTGGAGTGGAATCCGTTTCGTTCGCTGTCAAGCACCTCAAGCTCAGCTCGTCGGAAAAGGCTAGCCAGAAAAAGTGGAACCATAATCGACAAATGGAAGATTGAAGGACCGAAATGAGGACGGAAAACGTCTCTTCCTGAACTCCATGGAAATCTGGTTGCATCAAGGTCGTAAGTTTTCTCTAAGAAAACCTAAAACTAGGAAGAAAACTGGGTTCAGTAAGAAACTTAAACCGGATAGATCCTCAGTGGCTTTAGGTGCTCCTTTGCTACTGGCTGCTCCAAAAATTAGTTCTGGTTTTTCTGTTACAATCGGAAGACCTTAGTTTCTTTATTGGTTTAAATATTACACTAAGTATTCTTTATGATTCTAAAATAGGTGTCCAAATAAGAATCTGATGAATCAATATCAAAAATCAATAAGAATCTTTAAGCGAGGCATGGATCCGATTTTAGTGGTTTTCGCCGTTATTGATTTCGAGTTTTCCTTTTAGTTGTAGTAATTCTACCCTATTTTCTTTGTTTTAGCACTGCCTGTTCATCATCTCTGATGAACTCCGGAGATATTCCGACCAAAAATGGTGTTGCCTATGAGGATTTACATAGGGGCGTCGCATCGGCTCAGTACAATCGTCCAGAGGCTGGTGAATCCCTTCCTTTCCTTAAGTTTTTCATTGTAACACTGACGTTAACGTCGTTAACGAGAACGATCTAAGTACTTTTGTACCTATTGCTTTACTTTTGCAGTTGTTTTAGTTCTGACCCGTTCAGTCGTTATTAATTTTTCGTCCATCTGTTTTTTGACTAAAAATTCAGTGTTAACGAAATTAGCGTTCCACAAAGGAATCGACTAGTATTTCTCGTTCTTCAATACTTTCGAAACCATTGCGATTTGTTCAGAATGCATCATATGTAGTAACGTTTTTGTTTTCCTTATCAGTTGCTTTTCCCTCCCAACGCTTTACCGCCTCATCGTGGCTCGGAGGTGTTCCTAGGTTTTGGACTGCGATGTACAGCGGGAAGATTCGTTCCCGCGGCAGAGTCTCCCAAGCTTAGAAGGAGTCCGGAGTTTCCATCGGGAAGCCTAGCTAGGAGTAAACCAATACCAGGATCCACCATCGTCCTGGTACCAAACTAGTCGCATAGTGGAAATCTACCCGTGATCCACAAGGGCGGTGACGGCCTGTGGGTGGTGACGACCTGGAGCAGGCTTTGGCCAGGCTGACCTCGGAACGCCAGGGAACCACATAGGCTAGACCAGCAGAACTCCAAAACAATGGAAATTATGCTGAGGCCCTCACAAACATTGAAGATGGGCTATCCAAGTGTCCAAGTAAGTATCTGTTCCTGTTCATCTAGCAAAACGACAGCGACATGACTTGTCATCTAGAATGTTGTTAAGAAAGTGTCATAATCTTACTTCAGAAGTCTTTGCTGGTTTTTAGTAATCGTCCTGTTATCCCTTGTTTACGTGATTACATGTGTTTGTGCTATCTTGAGTTGTGGAGAACCCCATGGCATGTGGAATAAGCCATCAGTTTTAGGCTTCATTCCTTACAGTACTTTAGTTTCAGCTTCCGAATCATCATCATCATCCAGTGTAGATCTACGTGTACTTACCTTAAATGTATGGTGTCTACCACAACCATGGCCACTTGGCAGTAAGGATCGCAAGTATCGTTTGAAAAAACTCGCTGAAGCGATACTAAAGGAGAATTATGACATTGTAGGACTACAAGTAAGCTTTGTTTTACTTCATTCCATAGAGAAACAGCTAACTTCCCGTTTTTTCTTCGCTATCTTTTTGTATATTGAGCAAGTTAGGTGTAGGTTCAAGTTGTCTCGGGCCCAAACCCTAAGCCCAAACGTGATGACCCTTTTTTGTTTGTTCATTTGTTTTTATGAAGAGACATCCTTTCCTATGGGTTGGATTTCCTTGGTGTTGTAGGGAACATCCTTTTCCATGGGTTCGATTCCTTTTGTGCTGTAGGTTAATAAAATGGATGTGTATCTTTCGGTTTCATCTAAGTGTTGTCCTACTCATTGGTTTCTTCAGGAGGTGTGGAGCGTCACCGACTACGCAGACCTTATTGAACGACTATCGAGTTCTTTTCGCTTTCATCACTATTTCCATTCCGGGTTCACGGGCAGTGGCGTTTGTGTATTTAGTCGTCATTCAATCGTCTCAACACTCACACATAGGTGATTTTATTTTCCTTGCGTTTTTATTTATCTCGTTTGTCTACGAAACATCTACCTCTATACTCTTCTTTCGTTATGTTGTTCATACTGTTATTATTCAGTTAAATTCACTGATACCCTCTCCATGACGAGAAGTCATGTCATAAGAAACCCATCGTTCCACTTTTCCTATTTTATTGGTATTTTGATGATGCGGTAAACTTCATACTAAGTTGCTTGGATATGACCCAACATCACTGGTTGTACGGGTCCTATCATAATTTCCATAGTTTCGGGGTTTTGCTGGTTTAGCCGTTGTGTTTCCCTACACTTCTGCACTCACGAGGTCAACCAGGCCAAAGTTTGCCTCAGGTCGTCACCACTACAGGTAGTCGCCGGCTTTGTGGATTAGGGGGAGATTTACCATCGTGCGGCTAGTTTGATACCAGGACCGTGGTGGATCTTGGTATTAGTTTAATCTTTGCTGGGCTTCCTGATCTAAACGCCGGATTCTTTGTCACCTTGGGAGACCCTGTTGTGCGAATGAATCCCCAGCTGTATATCGCAGCATGACACCCAAAAACACCTCCGACCCACGATGAAGCGATTAACCATTTGGGGTGGGAGAAGGGGGTAAACTTCACTTAACTTAATACCTGAAATCATTGTGCCAACATGTTGTCATGTTAACACTGCAGATAGTTGAGTTGATGGACATTGTAAATGGGACCCTGTTTTATCATCCCACAGTTTTTATTTCAGAACAAAGATTTATAGCAAGGCTTATGCTTGCAAATTTCCAGTAAAGAAGTAAGGAACTTTCCATATTCGCTGACTTTGATGAAGAAACGGGAGTAAATCTGTAGTCCTTTGCAGTTTGGGACTAAGTATTGGCATATATAATATATACGTATATGTTCATATATGTATATATATATCTATATATATGTATATGTATACGACACGACCTGTCTTGACACCTACTGTGCAAATGCCAGCACTTCTTGCATTCGATTCGCTTCTTCGCACTCATCATCCTCGAAAGTCTTCGAACTTTTCGCATGTGAGTTTGGCTGCTGATTAAGAATTGTCGTCTTTATGAATATCGTTGAATGACGATCGAGTCGGTTCTCCGTGAAGTCCTGGGTTACCCAGACTAGAGCGTTCCCACTTGGAGTGAAGAGAGTGATTTTTTCCCTAACAAGTTTGCTACCAATTTTCCCACACCGTGAATGAGAGACTTGTTGAGCCCAGGAGGAGGGCCGAACCGGTAATGAGTTATGCGGCCCTTTTAAGTAGTGAGGCATTCTTCAGATTCCCATAATTATGAATTCAGAGATACTTGCTCTTAGATACAATGGTTGTACTGTAACTCATTAATATACCTTATGTACGTACACGCTTCCATTCATTCGTGTACTTGTCTTGTTTTGAGTATTTGGATTGTATGTATCCTGCGTGTCCATTCAGCCAGCAGCCTAGTGCCAAGTCCCTAGGAGATAAATTGGTAGCGGTTTTTTCACTTTATTGATTAATACATTGCTTAATGATTAGCAGAAGCACATGTAATAAGGGTATACAAGTGAGGGCGAAGTTTCTAAAGTACAGTGGGTGCTGAAATTATGGTGGGCGTCAATTATCTAATTATTAACCTTTTATCTACTGCCTATTCTTTTTAATGGCAGGGTATGTTGTGAAATACAACTCGTATAATGCTGAGATATTTGCAAAACTCCGGACCGCAGGTGTATGCGGTGAAGAACGAACGCGCTGTTGTCCTTTCCGGGGAGTAACGCGTTCACCACTACACCGTGCGGGTCCTTCGTTTTGCCTCTCTCAGCTAGTTCTAGCTAGCTGGCAGACACCTGCAGTCCCGAGTTTTGCAAATATCTCAGCATTATACGAGTTATATTTCGAAACATACCTTGCCATTAAAAAGAATAGGTGGTAGATAAAAAGGTTAAGATTGTGATTATAACTATAGCCTCAGCTTAACTGGCTTCAATGCCGATTTGTGCTTCCCAGATCAATCCCGTTGACGGGTGATTGCTGATGGCAAAAGATCGATAGAACTAGCTGAGAGACAGGCGAAACAAAGAGCCCGCATGGTGTGGTGTTGAAGGCGTTACTCCCCGGAAAGGACAATAGCACGTTCGTTCCCCACCACAGACACCTGCGGTCCGGAGTTTTGCAAATATCTCAGCATACGAATTATCTAATTGTTTTTGAACCACGATTAAACTGAAAAAAGAATGGGATTTTTTTCGCCTTGAGAACCACAGATTTGGCTATAAATTACTATTTTTACTCACACATCCATAAGAATGGTTGTAATTCATTATTTTTAATAAAAGAAGGCAACAAGTATAACAGCAGTTTTGAGTGAAGGGTGAAGAAATTTCCAAAGACTTACTTGGTACTTGATACTTGAACGGCCCGTCTTCACTAGCTGTGCGGGACCCATCATAAAGGATAAAAAAGCTCTCGGGGTTGATCAATCTGTGAGGGATGCGTCATGCATTCGACTTCATTAAATATCGTTGGAGGTGACTAAATGCATATCTAGCCTTTACAATGGTTCGCGGTGGCCTACCGATGTATCGAGCCAGTGCTGCTGTCTTCCCAAACAAGTCTGGTACCAATTTACCGACCCCGGAGTATGGAAGGTTTGGTGGGCCATGGGCGCGGGGATCGATTCCACGTGTGTATTGTAGTGGCAACTCCAACCACTGCGCCACACGCGCCGCAGCATAATCACCATTTCTCGGAGATTTGCTGGTTAAGCCATTGTGGTTCCCAGAAATCTCAAGGTCAACCTGGCCGAAGTCTGCCTCAGGTCTTCATCACCACAGGCAATGGCAGCCCTTGTGGATAGAGAGATTTGCCACCACGCGACTTTAATATCAAGGCGGTGGTGAATCCTGGTATTGGTTTACTCTTAGCTAGGCTTCCTGATGGAAGCGATTTCCAAAGGCGCGTATAATATAACTCGTACATAATGCTGAGATATTTGCAAAATTCCGGACCGCAGGTGTATGCGGTGAGGAGCGAACGCGCGCTATTGTCCTTACCGGGGAGTAGCGCACTTCACCACCACACCATACGGGTTCTTCGTTTAGCCTGTCTTTCAGCTAGTTCTATCGATCTTTTGCCATCAGCAGTCACCCGTCAGCGTTCTTGATCTGGGGAGCCGATATCGGCAACGAACCCAATTAAGCTGAGGCTTTAGTATTTTTATTGTGAGTATATTTATTATTTATTTATAGTGTATGTGACCTGCTTAGTTTCAGGTATTCACTTAATGGGTTTGCGCATCACATTCATCGCGGTGACTGGTTCGGTGGAAAAGTACGTTTTAATGGATATTTGTAGGATCGACTGAGACGTTGTATTTTGTTTCAAATTTACGTTCTATTATGTTATTCTTGGATTAGCTGACGGTTCAGGTTGTTGGTTTGGTGGAGGTTGAAGTTGGAGGGATCCGAGTAAACTTTTACTGCACACATCTTCATGCTGAGTATAACAGGGAAAACGACCTTTATCTTCCACATAGGTGGATGGCTTAGAAACTTAAAGAGTAGTTGATTTTAGAACATTTTATATTGGAAAATAGAAGCTTTTGTTTTTCTTTTCAGGGTGGCTCAGTCATTCGAATTAAGTCAGTTCGTTCGTCATACTGCACATGGAGCTGATGTCGTTATAATAACCGGAGACTTCAACATGGAGCCCCAAGATTTGGGGCTTAGGTCTGTATGAAGTCGCTTATTGATCGATTAAAGTTCGATAGCAGTGCAATATCTTATAAAATCTAGATTTTTGTCATGTTTTTCGATGTTACCATAGCAGAGATTTCATCATTTGAATATTGTTCTGCTGAAATACAATGCTCTGATATAATTGGTATACACAACGTATGTTGTGTATGAAAACTGTCGAATTGACATAAGGCAGTGCACTTTCTGAGAAACAGGCGGAACGAAAGACCCGCATGGTGTGGTGGTGAACGCATTAAACCATGGAAAGGGTAGTAGAGAGTTCGATACCAACCGCAGATACCTGAGGGCCAGAGTTTTGCAAATATCTCAGCACCATTGTGGTTGTATTTCACGTAATACCTTGTCATGAAAAATTGTAGGCAGCGAATAAGAACTTAACACTGTACCCTTGGAACGCAGATGAAAGCTTCAGATATTTTTGACTGTTTTTAAAGTGTAGGAGTTTTCAGACTCATTCTTTCACAACTGCGCCTCCTAGATGCGTGGCGAATTGCTCATCCTGTTTCGCCTCGCCTTGAACCTAATGTTTCCTCTAGTCATTGGCGCGGAGTAGAGAATGGTGGAACGTGTGATCGTCCTGACAACTGTTACTCTTTAAAAAAATTTAAACAAAAAGTGAGTCTATTAATTCCTGAAATTATTTTTGGTGTTCGATTTCAGTATGGTTATTGAAGTTGTTGATTTCAGGATGACAGCAAGCGTATTGATTATATTCTGTTCAGGAACGGTAGAATGTCTGTTTCTTTAGAGTTGTGCGATGTCGTAATGAATAAGGTACGTTTGGTATCTTTCACAATCTTATGTCTTGCAAACATTCAGGATGAGAGTTCCATTGTTGTTTTACCTCAAAACCAGTGTACTGGAACGTCTTTGTTATATATTGCTTGAAGGAGTCTACGAATGAAATTTATAGATTGCGAACGAAGAGCTGAACTACTCAGACCATGTTGGCTTACATGCACATTTTAGGATTAGAAATAAAGAACGTCAGGTGGGTTGATTGCTTGGTTATTTGAGAACTTAAGTTTTCTGTCCAGTATTTTATTGCTTTTATTTGCTTTCGATCTAGTATTTCTTATTTTCTATCTTTATAATTAATGCGGCAGTTCACGTCATCGGGTAAACATTGCATATTGTTTTTTGTTGTTAAGTTAGCATTGTTGTTGTTGTGGTGTTAGTGGCTCCGTTAACGTAATCATTCTGATATTCGTGATTTTTGAGGGAGATCTATGCTACCGGTTCTGTGATGCATAAAAACCCTCGACATTGATCAATCTCTGAGTGATATGCCATGCATTCGACTTTATTAATCATCGTTGGAAGTGATTGAATGCATATCTGACCTTTACAATAAGTCGCGGTGGTCTACCTATGTATCGAGCCAGTGCTGTTATCTTCTCAGACAAGTCGCACCAATTTGCCGATCCCGGAGGAATGGAAGGTTTGGTGAGTCTGGAACATGGAGATCAATCCCATGTATATTTCAGGGCGCCTCCGACCATTGCGCTACACGCGTGCTCTTTGATGCATACTAACCAAAAGCAACATGTGCATGAAATCATAACGCCTATCCACTTTATTTTGGTAGTGTAAGTGCAAATCACTGGAAATGGTCAGTAACGTACACATCTGCAAACGCAGCAATAACAGAGCTCTTTTTTGTTTAGTGAAGATTCATTTTTTACTGTTATCTCTGAGGTCCATCGAGCTGGATTCGAAGCAGCGACCTAAGCGCGAAAAGGAAGAAAAGGGCCTGTGTAATGCAGTGGTCGGAAGCGCTTTGCGATACACATGGGATAGATCCGTGCGCCCCTGGGCCACCAGGCTGTCCATCTCTCCGGAGTCAGGAATTCGATACCAGACTTGTCTAGGAGGATAGCAGCACTGGCTCGATACATCGACAGGCCGCCGCGAGTTATTGTGAAAGCTAGGCATGCATTCAATCACCTCCAACGGTTCTTAATGAAGTCGAATGTATGCCGCATCTCTCAGGTGTCACAGATGTTGCAACGTTAAGTGACGTACTGAAAATGAGAGACTACACCGTTAATCAGAGATAACAGCTCTGTCAAACACAAAATTTGCAGCCATTTAACATTCTCGTGAAACTGTGTACAATAGTACTTTTTTATGACTATCAAATGAGTGACCTTTGTTGGTTTGAAAAGAACTCAGGATATAACCATAAGTGAGATTATTCATGAAGCTCCAGACCGCTGGTGTATTCAGTAAAGACCAAACACCCGATTACCCTTTCCAGAGGCTAACGCGTTCACCGCCACACCAGAAGAATCTTTCGTTTCGTATCTCTCAGCCGTGTTGTTGATCTATAGGTTCTATTAGCAATCACACGTTAACGGGTTTAACCTGGAGGCACAAATCTGCATTGAACTCAGTTTAGCTTAAGAACTCTGGATTTCGTTTTATGATACATTTTTATAATGTAATGACAATAATGCCTACGTTTCTATAAAGCACCCTTCACGTGTTTTTAGGATCATTATTGTTCAGTTTACAGCAATCATGTGAATGGGAACCAAACAGGCCGTTGCTCATCGAAGCCATCGGCATTGTATCGGGTGGACAACGAAGGGCACGTTCCGATCGCACTTGGTTCATGTGTGGATCCGCAGTACTATTTGTAATAGTGATCGCCTCATTATTTTTGGGCGATGTTGTTTCAGACTACTCCGTGGCTTTTTCGGTATTCAGGTAAATTAGTTAGATGCCTTACTTTTTATTTATTTCTCTTTCTTTGTTTTCACAGCGAGGTACTGTGTGAAATACAACCACAAAGAAGCTGTGATATGAGCAGAACTCGGAACCTCAGCTGGGTTTCGAACCAGTGATTACCATTTCCATGGACTCAGGTGCTATTCAACAGACCAACCAAAAGCGCTTGCTTTATCTTTTTCAGCCATATTTCTCCTCTGTGTTAGAGGCTCTAAGTTTTCATTTTGCTGACCTTTCGCTACCTGTTTGTTAGGAGGTTTTATTAGCCTTGGAACTGAATGTGATTAAATCTCCATGCCGAACACTTTCTCACTATTTATTGGCATGCAGGTTTTTTTTTCAGAATCATTTTGACACTTGTGATTGCTTTTTGTATATGGCATGGACTAATAGGACTAACATTGGAGAGAAAAGCACTGAAAGCTGCCAAACAATCTATGCAACAGTTACTTAATGACTAGCCACTGCTTCGTTCTGGTAGAGCTATCAGATAAAGTTATGGTGTTATATGTGTTTTCTGATGTAGGTTTGTAGTGTTTAGGTAGTTCTAATCTCCAGTTATATTGCTTGTAATGTTTTTATTCAATACTTCTTTCACCTGTGATATTTTGGTTAGGTTAGCGTTTTACACGTTCTTAAATAAATATAGTTTCATTGAATAATAGTTTCTGTTTTATTATTCTGGGTTGTCACACTCCCGGTTTGGTATCTCGTCAGTGATTCAAATAACCAGCTGATTATGCTGTAGAAATGTTTCTAGGTGATGAATCGGATACTAAGTTGGGTTAGGAGCAGATCAGATCATAACGTAGTGTCGTATTCCAGATTCGGTCTCCCAGGTCTGAACGTTTAAGGGTTGCTAAGTTGTATGTACTATGATTTATTTTCTCTTTTCGATCATGTTCATATACTTGAAGGCGACGAGTTAGATGATCGCACACCTCCCACCGTCATTCATGTGGCTCCATTTCGTGAGGATAGTCCGGAGTTTATGGCATTCGGCACTCATTCGCAAAGAGCGGCAGTGGTCATTACAAAGATGCTTTTTTTCAATTTTTAGGAATAGATCTGCCGAAGTCGAATATTTGCTTTTTAGATATCAGCTGGTGTCGGTCTTTCGCTGGTTTTATTCGTATTCTTATCCGTATTTTTTGAATTTGACTGGTATCATCATGAGAAGGGTGTCGACATTGGAGCACTTGGTATGTACAGGTTCGCAGGCTGTAAGGTGTTCCTTGGTGTCGAACCTATGCGGCGACAGAGCCAAAAGCCTACCCATGGAAATTTGTCCGAACAGAGGCTCTTGGTATTCCTAGAGCTGGTGGAGCCTGTCGGCGTGACACAAGCAAATGACGATTTTATTGGTGCCTGCTTGAGTTGCTTTATCAATTCCAGCGTCCATACGCGTTTAGGCAGGAGAACGATATTTATACTATGGTGTCTTGTTTCAGTTCGGTGGGTTCCAGAATTCTGTTTTGCTACACTGTCTGTGCTCATTCGATAGCTAATCTAAAGCAGATCAAACTATGCATGCTTGGGACTGGAAAAGCCAATTTTTACACTTGATTATTTACAAAAAAGCCTTTTTTCGAGAAAGTTCGTTGGATTTGACGAACAATTAAGTGTATTCGTTTTAATCACTGTCGTTAATGTGCAGAATGTGCGGTTATAAAATAAAGAACGCTGGAATAGACTCAGCATAGGGTGGTAAATAGTAGCATAAATGCCGTTCATGCCTCTAGAACGATTGAGCGAGGTTTCTTCTGCAATTTTGCCATGTTTACAATCTGTAGTGCATTCTCTTTATTGAAGAAATGTTTATTATTGAAATTCGTAACCAAAGGAAAATTGTTCGTATTCCATTCGGAGAGCCGAGGTTAATGGCGCGTGTCTCTTACGGTTTAGTCATCTGGTCATTAACAGAGAACAGCACATAGGCCATAGAAACCACGCTTCTTTTATGGCCCTTTTTTACTGCTGTTTTTCCAAGCGTATATTCGATGTAGCCTTTACCGAACCATCTCCCATCGACTTTAGACTCTTTTGGTTGCTGCAGACTATGCATTAATTGGTGCAGGATATAATTCGAGTAGAAGCAGCAACTTCTAGATGCTACGCACAGAAATGACTGCGTATGTGTAGAAGGTATAAGGTATTTTGGCTTATCTGAAATAGGAAGCTCACTTCATTTCACGACCATCCATGTTTTTCAGTTATATAGTACGCTGGGCGCGTGTAGCACAGTGGTCGAAGACACTATGCTATACACATGGGATCGATCCCCGTGCCCCAGCCTCACCAAGCCTTCCATCCCTCTTGGGTCGTCGAATTGGTACCGGACTTGTCTGGAAGGATTGCAGCACTGACTCGACACACATCGGTAAGGCACCGCGAATCATTGTAAAGGCCAGTTATGCATTCAGTCACCTCCAGCGATACTTAAAGTCGGATGCATGGTGCATACCTCAGGGTTAGACCAACTCCGAGAGCTCTTCCTTTATCCTTTTAAATGATATAATATACTTTCATTTCTTGTTTTTGAAGGGTTTTTTATCCTGATGTGACAAAAAATGCTTGTCAGGGGATCACTGGGTGTTAAGCATATGCGGTAGCTAGCGTTTGTGTATGGGAATAACTGTTCCTATTTTGTCACTAAGTTGCATCCAACATCGTGGTGATTACTGGCATTGGTTTCCTTTTAGTAGCTTCTCTGGTGGTTGGAAATGTCGAACCATTTAGTTTCGTGTTAAAAAGATAGGCAATCTCTATCACCATCTGCCGCAGTTCGACACCTAAGAACACTCTCATCCGACTCTATATACATGCAATTTTACACTGTGTATGTCTAATTCTCTTCCAGTTGGGTTGCTGTTTTTCCTTTTCGTTGGCATTGCGATTCACTGGCATGTCATTCGTGGAATAAAATCAGGCCAGCCGAAATATCTTGTTCCATTTATCATAATCTACGCCATGACACTAGTCGTTGAAGCGATTTTTTTTATTTTTGTTGTGTAAGTTAACTTTTCGTTTCCGAAAACGACCATTTTCAACCACATTCTCGTAATTTTAGGAATCACATAGTTGTTCTGAATTATTTAAAGTCAATGCCACCACAGAGCACTTCGGTATTGTTTCACCTTGTTCATTGTTTCCTTGAGTTATATCTATCAGCTCTTCCATTGAGGAGCTATTTCTCAACCTTTTTAGATAAATTTTAGGGATACCTATTTGTCACGTCGATGTTCGTTTTTACCATGGGAGTCCAAGGTATTATGTTGACTGCAGTAATAAGGTTTGTTTTATATAGTAATTTACGAAGACAAAATTCATGTATGAAATCTGTGAACAGTGTGGTACAACTATAATGGTGTTGAGATATTTGCAAAACTCTATAATACTCTGTCGTGGAAACTGTAGTAAGCAAAAAATAAGAAATGAACATTGTGATTTGGACGACAGGCTCAGCTTAACTGGATTCGTTACCAATTTGGGCTCCCGAGATCAATCGCGTTGAAGGATGATTGCTAATAGCACTGGTAGATAGAAAACTAGCAGAGAGACAGGCGAAACGAAGGATCCGCATGGTGTGGTGGTGAAGTGGTGAACCCAATTTGAAAGGCCAATAGCGCGTTTGTTCCCCACCGCAGACACCTGGAGCCCGGAGTTTTGCAAATATCTCAGCATCATTAAAAAAACATGTGTGCAATTGCCAATTTACAGCAAGCTTTTCATAAAATAACAAGGCATGGATCACAAAGATGATGAGATATTTGGAAAACCCCGAACCATAGGTGTCTGCTACGGGAAACGAAAGCATTATTACCATTTCCGGGGAGTAACGCGCTCACCACCACACCATGCGGGTCCTTCGTTTCGCGTGTCTCTCAGCTAGTTCTATTGATCGTTCCCCACCGCAGACACGTGCGGTCCGGAGTTTTGCACATATCTCAGCATCATTAAAAAGTTATATTTCGCAGTATATATCCTGTCGTTAAAAAGAGTAGGCAGTAAACAATAAGTTAGAATTGCACACATGTTTTTCAAAATTTCTCATTAACCAACTGGACGCTTGCTGTTTAAAAATTTGATGGGGTGCCTAGGTTGCGAGTTCACTCTCTGTCAGCTATTTGTTAACGAGGGCTGTTTAGATGTCGGAATTATCTTGAGAAACGTCAAATTCATGACTTGGAGATGCGCGTTGCTGAAAAAAGTGTGAGTGGATACTTGTCATCTCCTTCATTTTTCTCTCATCGTTTATCATTTCTGTTGTCATTTCATTTCTGTCATTTATCATTTCTGTCTATTGTAGAAACTTCAACATCCCGGTATCAGAATAGTATTTGGATCTGGTGATCCAGAAATGAACAGTCCGTCCAATAATGATCTACAACCACCTGCCGATGAAGCACCACCTTCTTATGAGCATGCAACTCAATCAGCAAACGGAACAACTCAACCTGAGGCATCAGCTGCTTCCCAGCGCACGGTATTACAAGCCCAGGATAGCATCCTTTGAGTTTTCGGGGACATATTATTTTTGCTCAAACTCCGTAAACTATATAGTCGTTGGATTCAAATCCATGAATTCTACTGAGGCTTTGCAGCATGTACATTTTAGGAATGCAGTCTTTCCTTGACTGCATAATTTTATATTCTTATGTACTATTAAAGTTCTTAATTTAATCATGATATAGTTGGTACGCTTGATTAAGAAGTTGTATATAGCTGTTATTGTATAGAGATGAACATAATCACTGCGTAATATCATTTTGGCAGGTCTACATGTTGGCAGCCTTCTTTTTGAACATCAAAGCGAGTTTCTGTAAGTGTTAGTCTGGAATTGGTCGCCTTTATTTTGCAGATTTTGTGGAAGGTGTGGTTTCTTTTAGCATGATAAAAGTTTTGGAGTGCTTTTGTTCACTTAACGAGTTATTTCGATATTCAGAAGAGTTGCTTGTCAGATTCGAGCACTAGTGAAAATACGACGATATCCGCTATTCCGGTGTTCTAGTATGATTTGCTATACAATATTGTTCGGACTCATAAAAAAGACGAAGCTCTCGGCGTTGATGAATCCCTGAGGGATGCACCATGAATTCGACTTCATTAAACATTGTTGGATGTGATTGAATGCATATCTGGCCTTTACAATGACTCGCGATGGCCTACCTATGTTTCCGAACCAGTGTTGCTATCCTCCCAGACAAGTCTGGTGCCTATTTGCCGACCCCGGAGGGATGCAAGGCTTGCTGAGCATTCGGCGCGGGGATCGATCCATATGTATTTCGGGGTGCCTTCTACCACTGCTCTATTTTAGCACTACTTTCCTAAAATAAGTGTTGCAAAATCGAGTCATTAGTTCTACACGGCTACATTTTCCTACTCGGTTAATCCTCACGTTGCTTGGGAAATCTAATCATTACAAGAAAAAAGAACTGTTGTTGTTTTCTAAGTTCACCGCTTTTTCCAAACGGTTGGTATAATAATTGATAAATAATATGTCACCTGAACACCCGTTTTGTTATTGGGAAGTCTTCAAGTTATCTGAAAAACAATGTTATTGTTTGGACTTCAACTTCAAATATCTGAGATAACAGGAAAGTGAAGTACATGGCGACTATCGATCTTGTAGGGATTTGCATGAATTATACACCATTCGTACCACCATCGAAGAGATTGAATGTGCATTTCGCAAAAAGCGCTAGGATCTGCACATCTTTACCAACGAGTTATGGAGCTGATGAATCTTCTGGGGGTTGTTTGTAGCTAATGAGTTGCCTGAAAAAGTTTGTAGAAGGCATTTGGTTAACAAATGGTCCAGTGAATATGTTAGATAGGGATAATCCTTATGACTTAGTTCCTTCAAATTTCATAGCACTAGGTTCATGTTAGCTTTGAACTGTCAGCTCATATTAGATTTCTTTACATGGAAAAAACCATTAGAAATTACAGATCTTTGCCTGCAAGATCCAAGCCATTGCCGACAAGATTCAAGCTATCAAATTTTACCAAGGCGAAAGTGTTTTGCCTGTAACATATGCTGTTAGTTCAAGGCTCGTATTTCGAAAAAGAAAGCAGGTCAGCAACCGAGTTGTCATCAAGCATAACACAGCAGTGTTCCCCAAGCTATTGTTGATGCTTAAAGCGACCACTTTTCCGTTGGAAATTTTGGAGACTTATGTTTCGTCGTCAATTTTTCGATAATTTCAATTTAAAACATATTCTAATTTGAAGAGACACTGTATAAAAATTGCATCTGCAACTAATCTGGTTGGGTATAGTCTCTTCTAAATACCTGAATAGTTTTGTGACCCTTAAGGTACTCTAGTGATAATCGAGAGTATCGTCAGTTGCCGAAAGACAAACTTTAGGTTAAATGTGGATCTATAGAAATCAAAGTTAGGTTATTTGGGGATTTAGTTAATGAAGAGGTAACGACTGGTTTTAGAGTAATGGAACAAAGTAAAAAATTTGCCATAGAAGTGACGCTATCTTTTCATGTCACTACCTTATGGAATACAAATCAAATATTTAAAAATGTAATTCTTCAGAGTATAGAGATCAGTTGTTAGATTGACTGAGATATCACTCACTAAGCCTACAATTGGACATATCCCTTCTGGAACTCATTTTATACCCTAAGTTGGATATGGAGAAAACATCTAAACAAAACAAAATTTGCTATCAAAAGTTTAACATGGTCCTTATCAGCTCCATTCAATTTCACTAAGTTGCTCTCATTTTATACTACGTAGAAAACAAGAATGGTAGGTGTTTTCAATTTGTCTTTAGATTTACGGCTTATACATCAGTATTTAGGACCCAGCTAATCGTAGAAGTCCCTTACCGAAGAAGAAACAAGGACCTCCAGCATCGTTACTACCATCGATTCCACCTAGAGGAAAAAAGTAAGAAGCTTGGAAAAAAGAAGGATGAAATCGGACATTTTGTCCAAGAAGATAATAATCTCTTATACATGGCTTGGAAAAGTAGAATACTTAAAGAAGTAACCCAAAAAGTATAGGCCTGCTTAATTTTGAAACAACGTTTTTCCGTTCTTTTTCAAATGATCAATCAATTTGAGTTCGTGGGTGGGTGTACTCACAATTTTCCTTCCAGTTCCTTTCATCTAAGCTGTAGTCCATAGAAGTGTTTTGTTCGGTTGTGGATGTGTTTTAATATCCTAGACGCTCCATCTGCTGCTGATTTTATGGATGATCTTCATGAAGACGTTACTGTTCTCTTGGGATGCTTATCTCATTATCGACCGAGTCGTAACTCATCAGTGATCGCTTTAGATATCAGTATGATTATAATAGATTACTCAATCAACGGCTAATTGCCTACGCTAAATCCCAACCAGTTCTTAAGGCCCTATACAGTGCAGTGATCAGAGGTGTACTGTTCTATTTGGGAGGATAGCAGCACTGACTCCATAAATCGGTAGGCGACTGCAAGTCATTCTATAGGCGAGATGTACATCCAATTATCTCTACGATGCTGCGAATGGAATTGGATGCGATAGGCATTCTTCGGGGTTGATCGATGTCAAATGCTTTACGTTTAATGACTTAACCATTTGCGACGTAAGTGAGCGTGAATGCTGCCATTATCATTACTGTGCTGTTTCGACATTCGAATCTTCCCTGTGAAGACCCTTCGTCGTACAGCTCTTCACTGACGAAATAACATATTCCACAATGGTGAAAAAATTCTATGAGCTGTCCTCCGAGCATTAAGCTGTGGTTTCGTAAGCAATCTTTACGGTAATATTTTGCCTTGACGAGAACGCTAAGCTTGTCAGTTCCTTTCCTTTCACATGTTAGGAAAACTTTTCACTACTCATCGTAGGTGGAGTGGTTTCGTTAATGTTTTTACATGGCAGTGTGACATAGCACCTCGTTGCTAGAAGCACCTATGCTCTTTGGTTACTTTCAATTTTAAAACATTCGCATTAAATAAGATACAAATCTTCAACTTGTTTAGTTTGTATATTGCAGACTATTGCCAGGTCCAGATTATACTAGCTAACCCTTAATAACTCTTGCTAACGCTATCGTTTCGGGTTTTAGGAAGTAATGTGCTACCATATTGAGGCCCATGGGCGGGCACGCTTGCTTATATCTCATTGTATTTTACCACAATACCATTGCAGTACAAGGGCGCGTGTAGCGCAATGCTCGGAGGTGCCCTGCAATACACACGTGATCGATTTCAGCGCCTCATGGCCACGAAGCCTTCCATCCCTCCGGGGTCGGCAAATTGGTACCAGACTTGTTTGGGAGCATAGCGGCACTGGCTCGATACATTAGTAGGTCATTGGGGTCATTGTACGGGCCAGATATGCATTCAGACACCTCCAACGATGCTTAAGGAAGTCGAATGAACGGCGTATTCCTCAAGGATTTATCAACGCCAGGGGTTTTATCCTTATTTCATTAACCACCGCAAAGAACTCGCCGTCATTTAGGAGTCTATTCTGGTTCTGAAATCGGTTTCATTCGCTTGAGGAGACACATCAAAGCGTCCCTGATTTGCTTAAATGACAGATCTAGCACTATATATGGATGGAGTAAGATGCGGCAAACAAGCGTCACCAACCGAGTTGGTTTAGCTCGTGCCCTATGGCAACCGTTCTTTCTACTCGTCTCCAACACAAAATCTGCAACCATGGGGTTGCGTTACTGAACCATGTGGTTCTGTCGGTAAATAAAATACCTTCAACGGCCGTGCTTTAAATGAAATTTGCAATATAAGCGAAATTTCACTTTATATTTCCTGTTTTGCCAGTTTAAGTTAGAGTACGGAAAGGCAATACTGTGAAGTTTACGTGGATATTGAAAAGTATGGACTTGTAATGTTAAAATTTAGATCCGATCATGATCAAAAAAAGCAGAAGAAAGGCAAGGGGTATGTCTATCTGATGTGCAGTTTCTATTTTGCAAAATCTGAGGAAATCTTCTAGTTTTCTGAGGAGCTAATTGACACGCGCTTGTGTGGTAACACTGATCCGACATTCTTAGGAGATCATAAGGACTAATAACTTGTCCTTTCTCACATTTCGTTTACCGGGTAATAAAAGTCTTGACCTGGTTTTTGACCAGATGTGAACACTTACATCAAGGTTAGTCATCTACATACAGGACAGAGTACGACTCCTACACGCCCAAAGTTAACACGGGATGTGAAAGGGCGGTTTCCAACTGCGGAAATTGAAAACACTCAACTAAGAATTTACGGGCGTTAGTTATCTAGATGACAACGAGTACGCGGAAAGACCAGAATTTGTTGCTACAGCTGTCGTGTTTGCTGTAGATCTTCAGTTGCATCCGATTATTCTTCTGTTTTTTTTTCAGTGCCACAGCAGAATCAACTGATGTGAAACGCAAGTTTTTATTCCTTTAGAGTTCTTAGGTATTTGAAAAGTCTACTCTATGACATATATATGACGTATCCCCAAAAGAATAGTTGGCTGTTCTCCATATTGCTAGTAGGTCGCTTTGCTCTGTGGTCTTA